CCCGAACAACACCTATCGGCCCTTGGCCGCACCTTTTTAAAAGGTCAAGTTCGACCCAGGTCGAACAACACCAATCGATCCTCGGCCGCACTATTAACAAAAGGTTAAAATTCGACCAAGTTCAAATAACACTTATCAGCCCTCGGCCACAATTTAACATAAGGTTAAAATTCGACCAAGTTCGAATAACACTCATCTGCCCTCAGCCACGTTTCGATGGAAGGTTAAATTTAACCAAATGAGAAGCGAAATCCGACCAAGTTCAAACTTAACCGATCGATCCTCAGACATACTCAATCTATACCGACAAAGGGACGATTCAGCCTATGGATATTCAACCCAAAGACTACGACCATTTAGAGGATGACAGAAAAAATACAAAGGAGCAAAACACGCAAGTACAGAAACAAATCTTGGCAAATAAGAAAGGCAGAAATGGAAGCAAAAATCAACTTTGATATTTATAGAAAAGGTTTTTTTACAAAGGCTCTTGGAGATGCCAACAAAAGTAAACAAAATGATAAAAACAAACTACTACTGGTCATCGCCATCACGATCCACAGCATCCTTACCGGTCCGACCCTCAACAACGTTGCTTCCCTGGCCGTCAACGCCATTACCACCCTGATCTTCAGCGCCCTCTCTATCCTCGCATGGAGGGTAATAGAATCATACCAGGACTCATCCTCAAGATGATCTATAGCCTCCTCCATGTTCTCATCTTCTTCGCTAGGGCGAGGTGTAGCCAGGTCAAAGCCATAAGTAGTCCGAGCTTGCGAGCCTTGACCCGAGCATCCTCAAGGGCCACCCAGAAGCAGATCCAATCGCACAACTCATAAAGCATATCTAGTCGGGCCTCGACATGAATTCATTCTTCATACAGCTCACAGGGGACATTGGGAAATCCAGAGTAGATAAAGAAGGCCGTACAAGAAATTGGGCCTTCTCGTCCTCCAGAGAAGCAACTCGATCGTAAAGATCGGAGGTCTCTTTTTCTAACTCCCCAATCCTTTCATCAAGCCATTCCTCTTTAGCCCTCGCCGTCGACAGGTCATTTTCCCGCTCAGAACGAAGGTTTCAGTTCGCCAACTCAAGGAACTCCACCATCCTTCGAGCCTCCGACTGAGCAGCCTACGACTTATCGAGGTCCTCATGCTTCTTGATGACCTCGCCACTGTGAGCCTCTGCCTTAAACTAGCACTCATCAAGTTCACCTCGCAGTTGGACCACTTGAGCTTGGAGGTCGCTGCATTGGGCCTCTATGCCTCTACTAAGCTCGAGCTCCTCCTCTTTGCTCCTAGACGTCCCTTCAAGGATGCTACATTTCTCCACATCCTACATCATCTCCTCGTCCCTCTTCTTTAAGTCCTCCCTCAGAACCCGCACATCGCCGCCTTTACGCAGCCGATACCGGAGCTCCCGGTACTTCTATAGCATGTGGTATACTTGTCTTTCATCTTCACGTAAATTTCTTTACGTCTCCTCACCCATTCAGCACTCTCAATCTCTAGAATAACTGTCTACAAAATAAAGAAAAGGTGTTAGAACGTACAAAGAAACTAAGGCATAAGACGATAGTCGTACTTTCGCTGAGAGCGAGACCAACAATGTTATTTGATAGACTACTGTCATTTATCGTCTCGAGGGTCGTACCCTCAATCTTAGAACAATCGAGGCAGTGACAACTCCCTCGGTATTTACAAGTAGATTACGATCCATTGGGATCGTAATAGTCCTGGAGCCTGATGGTAGGCTAGGAACACATGTTTTAGCCGCATTTTGCACTCTAATTACTGCACTTTTGAGCGTGTTTGAGGTTAAATGTTAGTGTATTTCACTTATTATGTAATTTATTCCTTGCATGAAGTGATTCTGAGTTAAAAAGATAATTTGGAACTAAATCGAACAATGTAGAGCTTTGAAGTCTGAGTAAGAGCCCAATGAATTAAACCGGGATCGCGTTCGGTGGTCGGGAGCCAAGTTTGGATGTCAAAACGTGAAGAAAACAAAATAATATGTAAAAGTTGTACTGCAACGCCCTATGAGGTGGCTCACGGGGCGGGGCGGCTGTGCTTTTGTGCTGTTATCCGTCAGAAGCTGCTCTCTGAACTTTCCTACTAGCGCCCCGCATGGGGCAGCGCGCTTGTGTGATTTTCTCGGAGTACTTTCCTGTTTCATCTTGGAAAAGGTAGCTTCCCCCGGGCCCACTTCTACATGGTATAAATACACCAAAATACGTTTTTAGAGGACTTTTGACTTTGGAAGTATTGGGAGAGCATTGGAGGCTACAAGATAGAGAATTTCATCATCTTCCCATCAATTCAATATGCGAGTTTGGATTGTAACGTTAGATTGATGCTTTCTCACTCTTTAATTATATTTGTGATGACTTTCTCCATCATTATGGAGTAGTTTACATTAGGGTTTGACATGATTTGGTGACTTGCTTGTTGTTTATGGATTTGACTACTGCTTAATTTCTTGAATTTACGGGAGGAGTTTTAATATGGTTGGGATTTTATTCTTTATAGTGTTTAATCGAAAGAGAAACATCTTATTGAATATTATTGTGGCGTATGCCATAGTTTATTTTGGTGATTCTTCGAAGTAATCGAGAGAGCTTTTTGAGTTACCGTTAAATTAAAATTGAGAAATATTTGCGAGAAGTTTCTCTTAGATCATTCCTACCAATAGATTCTTGCAAGTTTCACCGCAATTCACATTAGTTTAATTGAAAGATTTATATTTAATCAAGAGATGAGTCTGAATCGGAAGTATAACCTAATCACTTATTGAATTCTGAGAATCGCTAGAACCTAACGAGTGAAATATAACAACGTCATATCTAAAATAACACTCTTGCACTTATCACGTCAAATCCCGTGTTCCTCACATTGATAAGAAACCGACTTTGTTAATCTCTGGTTTGTTGCAGTCAATCACCTATTGCTTTACTTTAGTAGTTAATCGTAGTTTATAATCATTACAAATTTAGTTTTGATAATCCTGAATAGCATTAAGCTAGAAATTACTTGAGCATTTTTTAAATCCAATCCCTGTGGAGACGATATTTAAACTATACTATTTTTGGCTAGCGAGCATTAATTTCGTATTTTGTTTTACGCTCATCACATTTTGGCGCCGTTGCCAGGGACTGGCAATCAATAGTGTTCAAATTAGTTTTTGGTGCTAATTCGGGAATTTTTTTATTCTTCACGGATTTCCTCTTCCGTGTGCAGGAAACAAATTGACGTCTCTAGTGTATGTCTCGATCTTCTTCAAAGGAATTGATTCCATACAATTCAAAGGTGGAAAAGAGTCTGCGATAGTTGAGGAAAGAGAAAGAACTCAATGAAAAGTTCTTGGGGCAACCTTCAACCCTAGAACACATGGCTAATAACGGTACAACAGAGTAGATTTAGCTGCAAGAGAGGCAGCACAACATTGAGAAGAAGTTGCACGGATAGCAGCTGAGGCAGCACATTGAGCTGCTGATGAGACCGTAGAAGATGATGAGGGTCGAATATTCAATCTAAATCGACCCTTGGTTGAAGACCAGATCGAGAATGTGGTACCCAAGCCTAGTAGAGCATTGGGTGATTACACCAAACCAGTCTACACTCAGGGATTGTCCAGTGTCAGACCTCCACCAGTAGCCGCAAATAATTTTGAGTTAAAGCAAGGCTTGCTTCAAACTATCCAGAACAATTGTGTCTTCATATGGAAGGTGAATTAAGATCCTAACACTCGCTTGATGGATTTTAAGGAAATCACGAACACCTTCCAGTACAATGGAGTGCCAAAAGATGCAATATACTTAAGGGCATTCCCTTTTTCAGTGAAGGATGACGTGAAGCAATGGCTTCGTAGCTTACCAACGGGGTCGATCAGGACATGGGAAGATATGACTAAAAAGTTTCTTGACAAATAGTTCTCAGCTGCAAAAATAGTGAAATTCAGAAGGGTAATTCACAACTTCTGCTAGACGGACAATGAAACAGTTTTCGAGGCTTGGAAAGATTCAACGAGATAGTGAGGAAGTTTCACCATAATGAGATTGAATTACGGATGCAACTCCAGGACTTTTGGGATAGACTAAAACCTCCCTCACGACGAACTCTGAACACGACAGTTGGAGGTCCTTTAATGAAGAAGACTCCTGGGAGATTGTGGCAATTCTTGATGATCTCTGTGAAGATGCTAACCAGTGACCTGCTGAGAGTAATGATAGAAGAAAATCAGCTGGGGTGCACTAGGTGGACGATAACACATCAGTGCAATCCCAGCTAGACACCATGGCCAGAGAGATAATAAAGTTGACATTGGACAAGGTACAAAGTAAGCCACAAGCAGCATGTGACTTTTGTGGAATGGGACACCCTACACATGAGTGTCAAGCTTCAGTTGAAGTAGTAAATGTTGAACAAAGCTTTGACATAAGCCACTACCAGAGTGGTAATAATTTTAACTCTATGGGACATAGGCATCCAGGCTTTTCAAGGAGTTCACCAAGTGGTAGCCTGAACTCATGGCAGCAGAATAATCCAAGACCCCAGGTACAAGGAGCTTCAGGATTTCATAATCAGCAGAGGAAGCAATACCAACCACCACATTCTAATCAGTCTAGCATGAAAAGTCTAATTAAGGCCTTCATTATTAAGACGAATGAGAGATTTGAAACTCATGGCGCAGCTATTTAAAACTTAGAGAGGCAAGTGGAGCACATTGCTAGTCTGTTATCCGAAAGGTCTCCAGGAACCCTTCCTGCAGATACTGAAAGGGATCCGAAGAGAACTATAAATGAAGTTTCTTTGAGGAATGGCAAAGTATTGCAAGATCCATTGGTAGTTTAGAAGAATGAGTTGATAGGAAATCAAGTTCATAATGAAGTGAGGGAAGAGAAAGAGGATGATGTGAAAGAGAAGAACAAATCTGAAGTTCCAACAAGGAAGAAGAAAGACAAACAAAGGATCAATGAGGAGACTTAGGAGAGAAAATACATGCCTGCTCTACCCTTCCCCCATAAGCAAAGAAGAGAAAAGCTGGACAAACAATTCGGGCGCTTTCTAGAAGTGCTCAAGCAGGTGCATGTGAATATACCTTTCATAGAGGTGCTTTCACATATGCCAGCTTATGCTAAATTTTTGAAGGAGTTATTGTCCAAGAAGCGAAAAGTGGAAGAGACATCGATGGTCAATCTCACAGAGCATTGTAGTGCCATTTTGCAAAATAAGTTCCCTCAAAAGTGTGGAGATCCTGGGAGTTTTACTATACATTGTAGGGCTGCTTATCGGGCAAATTGGGCGGTTATTTACTCTTAACGGTTTGGCTTATCGGTTATCAGCTTTTAAATGTATTAATCCGCTAGCCATCCGATAAGATATCGGACGGATTGGTATCGATTTAGCTCTTATCGAGCGGTTATTGGGCGGTTTATCGGCCTAATTCAATTAAAATAAAATAAAATTTAGTATCTGTGTGTTTAAAAAGGTGATCGATGTACTAAGAGGGACGAAGCAGAAGAGACACCGTGATGGGTAAATCATCTGTCTAGAATCTTATTTATGTTTATGCACATTGGCCTTAGTCCATGTGAAAGATTTCCAATTGGCCGTTGATAAAACAAATGTTCGTCATGCTTAGAATTCTAGGATGCCTTAAAACCCAGGCAAAGTTGATGAAGCAGTGATGTAACTGATGTTGTTATCTTGTTTCAGACAGCAAATTCTGTTTTTTGTCACAGTTAGATGACTCCTTTTATTTGGCTTTCTTTTATTCTAGTTCACTTTGATAGAGTACTGGAGGAAGAAGGGTTTTTGATTATTTAATATATATATGGATAAAAATAAATNATATATATATATATATATATATATATATATATATATATATATATATATATATATATATATATATATATATATGGATAAAAATAATTTTTATATGTATATATATATTCTTTAACGGGTTTAACGGATTATCCGTTTAGGAAAATTAAGATAATCCGCCCCCAAACCGATAAGCCGTTAATAAAAAAATTCAATCTGTTCCGTCCGTTTAAACTGTTAACCCGATACCAATAAGCCATTAAGCTTCGGTTTCGGTTCGGTTTTGAACACCCCTAGTACATTGCTCTTTAAGAAGTACTAAGTTTAAAAAAACTTTGTGTGATTCAGGTGCTTCCATTAATCTTATGCCTTTGTCTATTTTCAGAAAATTGGAGGGAGAGATTAGAGAAATCAGGTCGATACATGTTTCCTTGCAGCTGGTGGATCAGACCACAATCATACCTGAAGGAATAGTGGAAGATGTACTGGTTCGGGTAGGCAAATTTGTGTTCTCTGTGGACTTCATTGTGGTGAACATGGAGGAGAATAGGGAGGTCCCTCTGATTTTAGGAAGACCCTTCTTGGCTACGGGTAGAGCAATTTTTGGATATTCAGGAAAGGCAGCTCATGCTCAGAGTGGGGGAAGAAAGGTTGATTTTCAAGATGGAAGGAGAAAGGGGGGGCCTAATGGAGAAAACTGGAGAGAGTCAAATGAATAAATAAGGGGTGTACCCAAAAAAGGTTGAAAGAAGCTCTCACATGGATGTGTGCATTGGGTCGCGCTGGCAGGGAGATCCTGACTTCGATCCAGACTTCGACTAGTAATCAGGGAAGTTTTCCTTTACCTCTTACTTTTATTTGTATTTGTGTGTCATGGGGATATGCCACAATATAAAGTGTGGGGTGAGGGATGTAAATATGTATGGTGTGTTATTTTCATTTCTTTTGATTGAAAATAAAAATAAAAATTTGACTTTTCCCGATGATGGATTTCCTCGGATGTCTTCTTGAGGGATTAAAGTCGAAGAATTTTTTTAGCCTTTTATTTTGTTTTGTTTGCTTAGGTAGTGTAACAATTCCCACTTGGTTTTTTGTTTGTGCCGCGGTTCTTTTCCAAGGGTTTTATTTTAACCGGGTGTAGTTAGTTTTTTCTTTTTTTAGGAATAGGGTAGTCTTGTGCTATGTCTTCAATGGAGATGACTTTTCTTGACGTTGTTGTGCCTTGGGAGTAGTGAGTGCCTTAGTTGTGAATGACTATTTGTTTGAACATGTACCTCTCTTGAGCACTTAAAATTATTGAGCTTGTTACGAGCTGAATGGAGTATGGTAGGTTTTTGGGTGGAGCTAAGAATAATGGAGAAAGGTGCACTAGTTGAAAATTTGTGAGAGCCACATGTAAGGAAAAAAAAAAGACAAAGAAAAATCATCAGAACTTTGAAAATAAAAGAGTTTGTGTATGTAGTAGAAAGAAAAGAATTTGATTCCTTGCTAATGATAGTTCTCATCAGGTTTGTGCTTATAGATATTGGGAGCTTGATGCTATTGTAATATGAAGGTTAGGGTTTGGTTCAACACAAGTGTGGGGTTTAAATTGTTAATGTATATGTATTAAAATACTTAGGGAGGTGTAGTCATTATTATCCAAATTGTATCTTACCCGTTCCCCAGCCAGCATTACAACCAAATTAAGTCTATTGTATCCTAGACCAATGAACTCAATTAGTAGAGTATACGCTACGGGCAAGCCTATGGTACGTCTTCTGTATCACATGCATTTTATTTCTGAGAGTGGGTTAATTCTTTCTATCTTGAGTTCCTGTTTGCTCTTGAATTTTATTGTGTGTGGAACTACTCTCTATTATTTGTGTGAGGGTACATGATTTGCAAGGAAAGGTAAGGTCTTTGGCCTCTGTGTTAGAGTGGAGTAAGCAAGTTTTATGAAAAACGTGATGCTTTGGAGTCGAGTCTTAAGGCTAGGATGTTATGATAAGGTGCTTAGTCTGCTTTAAATATTCTTGGCATGATGAGTTAGAAGTTGTTTGATTAAAAGTCGTCTCTATGTGAAGTGTGGTTTGATTGCTCGGGAACGAGCATATTTAAGTGTGAGTGTTGATGGTAGGATAGGAACACGTGTTTTAGCCGCATTTTGCACTCTAATTACTGCACTTTGAGTGTGTTGAGCTTAAATAATAAGTGTATCGCATTTATTATATGTTTTATGTCTTGCACGAAGTGTTCCGAGTTAAAAAGATAAATTTGGAACTAACTCGAACAATGTGGCTTTGATGTCTGAGTAAAAGCCCAAGGATTAAACCGGCGAATCGCGTTTGGAGTTGGGAGCCAATTCTGGATGTCAAAACGTGAGAAAACAAAATACTCTGTAAAAATTGTACTACCGTGCACTATTTTCAAAGGCATTATTAGGGCGAGTCCCGGGCGCGGGGGCGCACTGAAAACGCACCAGGCGATAGAAAAAGGCGAAGTTCTTTCGGGCGTACGCCACTTATAACACTGGGGCGCACCCTAGGCGAAATGCACGCTTTCTTACGCCTTATGGAACTTAGCCAAATTAGGAATAATTTATACAATTCCCAATATTTTTTTCAACCCTTCCACTTTTACCCGCACAGACTTACCAGAAACAAATAGAAAAAAACCCTACGGTATTGACTTCTCTGTTTCACATTAAGTCCACAACTCCAAAGGTATAACTTAATGTTTTATTACTTTTTTGATTTTTTTGTTTCTTTCTGCTTTATGCCCATCTACACTTCCTTTCCAAATAGTTTAAGTAGAGATTATCCATCCTTAATCTGATTTTCTTGTTTCTATTGTAATTGTATAATCGGTATTTCATAGATTCATATGTGGTTCTTCCAATTGTATGGTCTCTAGCCTCCTACAGTAAAAACTTTTTATGGTTGAGATTGAATATTCTTTTTGGATTTTAATCCAACAATACTTTATTTGCAAAGTAAAGGCAGTGGTAGAGTGGTCTTTGTATCTGCAAGTTGGCATTTATTTTTGTAATGTTGCACATGAGGTATTCAGATTATAGCATGATAATTTAAGTTGGTCCTTATATTGTTTGGTTATTAGGCATCACTTACAACCTTATTTGTCAGGATGTAAGTTAGTATTTATATTTTTGTTTGTTAGTTCACGTATAAAACAATTATAATAATTTTCCTATGCTTTTTTATTGTATGTGCATACTTTAATGTGTATTTCACATATAAAAATATTTTAAAGATTATTTTATAAATTATCAAATTATAAAATTGAAGATCCACGGGACTTATGCCCCGTGTCTCGGGGGCTTTCGCCTGCGCCCCGTACTGGTGGAAATGCCTCGCCTCACGGCACACGCCTTTAAAACACTGCTGCCGTGTTGCATGAGGCAGCGCAACAGTGCTTGTGTGTGTTCTCTCAAACTGGCTCTTTAATTTCCCACTAGGATCCCCGCGGGGCGGTGTGAGTGGTTAGATGAGTGGTCTGGCTGTGAAGGAGTTGTCGCGGCGCGTAGGCAGCCATTGCTGAGCGATTTATAGAAAGTGACCGCAGAAAAAACTGTAGAGTAACTTGACTTGGAACTTAAGAGGCGGAGTGCGTACAAGACACGAGAATTAGCATCAGTCTTCCCATCAATTCAATACGAATTGGATGTTCTTAATGTAGTGTCGTGCATCTTTAATTGATATTTGTTATGACGTTCCTCCATCGATATGAGTAGTGTACCTTAGAATAGTATATTAGTACTTGTGTGTGTTATAGATTACTACTGCTTAATTGGTTGTGATTGGAGAGTTTAATATAGTTGTGATTTTATTTTTTATAGTGTTTAATCGGAAGAGGAATATCTTATTGAATATTATTGCAGCGTATACCTTAGTTTATTTTTGGTGATTCTTCAAGTAATCGAGAAAAGCTTTTTGAGTTTACCGTTTAAGTTTAAGATTAAGAAATATTCGCGAGAAGTTCTCTCTAAATCATTCCTACCAATAGATTCTTTGCAAATTTCACCGCATCTCACATTAGTTTATTTGAAAGATTTAGATTTAACGAGAGAGGAGTCCGAATCGGAAGTATAAGCTAATCACCTATTGAATTTGTGAGAATCGATAGAACCTCGAGAGTGAAATAAACAACATTCATATCTAGAGTAACACTCTTGCCACCTATTCAGTCATAACCCTTGTTCCTCACATTGATATGAAACTCGACTTTGGTCTAAATCTCAGTTTGGTTGCAGTTAATCGTCAATCGCTTTACTTTATGTAGTTGATCGTACTTTTATACAATTACAAATTCGATTTTGATCATCTTGAATAACGTTAAGCTAGAAATTACTTGAGCATTGTTTAAATCTAGTCCCTATGGATACGATAATTAAACTATACTATCCTTTGGCTAGCGAGCATTAATTTCGTGTTTTGTTTTGCGCACGTTCAGAGCCTTCTTCCAACCACTCACTCGTAGTGAGTAAGTCCTTCCCTATCTCTCCTCTTTCA